AAAGATAGTCAGTATTGAAAAGTTTGTAGTAAAAGGATCTTTTCAACTGTGGATAGAAATTTAAATTAGTATAATTTTTAAAAAAAAAGACAAATAATCAATTTGTATCAGTAACCATAAAATATACATAATTCCATTTTTTAGAATAAAGTCTAAGGTAGTAATAAAAGATTTTTCACAAACATAGGTAAGCAAAATTGTTAAAGCATTATTTATAATGGGAAAAATGGCAGTTGACTTAATGTCTAATATAAGAATGTTGTATTCCTTATGATTAGAACTCTAAAAAGCATTTTTTGAAGAGCATTTAGTGAATTGGGAAAGTGCATATCATCTAGCATAAATTAGGTAAAAGCAAGATAAAATAACACATGTGATTTAATTCCAGTTTGTAAACTGCTTCTCTCAATGAAATACATTTTGTAAAAAGCATTTTGATAAAATTATAATTAAAAATAATTTTGTAACAAAAGAAAAACATTTATAAACATATGCACAAAATAAATATCAAGTGAGATTGTTTTGCTTTCTGCATTTGCAGCTGAAGTCCAACCTGAGAACAAAGGTTCTTTATAGTCACAGAGATAACTGTCTTTGGGGGAGTTCAGTGTTTGGGAAGAGTCCCAGTGAAAGGCATTATCAAGATGCCTGCAATATGGAAGGTAGCTTCAGCTGGTGTGTTGTTACTAGTCAGAAAAGCAATAACCAGGAAGTAGTCAGGGAGAGGATTTCAGTCTCTTCCAGTTAAATTAAGAGTGTTTTACACCTTGTATCTTACTGTCTTCAGAGGGTTAGCCTTTGGGAGGAAGGAAGTGGGTGTAAGGGTGCCTCACATTTCTTTCACAACTTTTACAACAATCTAGCTTTCCATGGTGAAGGGGGAATAGAAGAGCTTTAAATTCAGTTTAAGGTTGAAATTTTTAAACAAAAGGACTAAGCCTTATGAAATATTTGGTGTGACTAAAAATATAGTTCTAATAATTGACTAATGTCAGCTATGTATGTGTGTGTCAGAATGTATGTGGTTTTGAGGAGTCTTAACTCATTGGGATGAGCACATGAATTGGTTTAATTTTTTTTCAGCTGTGATTTGTCAAACTCTAGCCTCTTTTTGTGATTTTTAACTCTCACTGACATGTTGGCCACAATATATATATAAATTTGCTTTAAATAGAGAATTACATTGAATTTGTACTTACATGAATGAGCAAAGAAGCAGAGAAGAATATATACTAAAATAAATAATAGTTATACTTTTGGTAGTATAGTTATTCTTTGTCTTCTCATATTTAGTCTTCCTTGTATTTTCAACAACAAATAGAAATAATTTACAATTTTGCTATAATATGTTTTATAAAAATGTCTTCTGCAAACTATAGCTGAAGGTGATTTTTGTTGTGTTACTTGATTTGCATGAGACTCCACATAGTACTGTCATCCTTAAAAGATTAAAACCCCAGGGAAATGTTTTGTAGATAAACTTGTAAGATTTCTTTTTGGGCCTCCCTGGTGGCGCAGCGGTTGAGCGCTGGGTTGCGAAGCTGCCTGCAGCCTCTGCAGCGCCAGTTCGATCCCCAGCTGATCCCCGGCTGCTCCCTGGCCACCTGAGGAGGGTCCCACATGGCGTGCAGACCTCTCCTGCTTCCCGCTGCTCCCCTCAGCAGTGTACTTCAGTCCTTCTGCCTGCTCTGCTCTCCGTGCTGGCTCTGGTGAATTCTCTCACCCTCCCGCGCTTCTGACTGTATGTACCCAGTGCTTGTATGTATAAATAAATCTTTTTTTTTTTTTAAAAAAGATTTCTTTTGTCAGATAAAAATATAAGACCTCTTTTGCTTTATTTACCAGAAAACATCGCTAGCCTCATGACTTAAGTGACCCTGCCACTGAGTCTGCTCTCGTCATAGCTCTATGCTGCTCTATACTCTTACCTCTTCCACCCTCAGCACTACCTTCTGGGAAATGTTTCTCGAATGCAAATCTGACTGTGATTATATCCTTGCTTAAAATTCTTCAATTGCTTCCTGTGTCATAAAATAAAATTCTAAGATTGACACACTCAGCACTCCCATCTTCCGACTCTGCCCAAATGCTTTCCACCAATAAGTGTTTTGGATCTTTCCTATATGTATCACCCTATTCTTAAACTTTATTAGATGACTTGTAATTTTTGTAGAGTGTTGTAATCTTTTTGTTTTTACTTTGTTTCTCATGCTATTTCTTTTTCCCTTATATTTCTGAGATAGTCTCTTTCTTTAGGGAAGCATTCTACTTTTCCTTGAATGAACTTAGTTTCCAGGACATTCTTTTCCTGTCTTAAGTTCTCAGGAGCATATGTACAGAATTGTAGTTTCTTGGCTTGTGTGTATTCCCTATAAATATTGGGGAATTATCAAAGGCCAGAACCATGTTTTTCTTAACTAAGAACTTGTTATATAATAGGTGCTTAATACTCATTTGTGTAAAAGCTAAGAATTTTGCATACTTTTAAAATTCCCCTTAATAAACCTATGAGGTAGATGCTATTATACAGATAAAGAAATTGAAATCTCGAGTTGTGTATTTGTTGCATGTTTTCTTAACGTCTGTCCCTACCTCTGGACTATAAGCTCAGTGAAGTCAGGGATAGTATTGGTCAAAATAGACTAGGCTATTATGCAATAATAAAACACTCCAATGTTTCAGTGGCTTCCGTAATAAACATAGTTTGTTTTTAAACTCACAACATGTTCTTTGTGGGTTGAATGTTGTTATGCTACTGCTAGATTTCACTTTCACAGAATAACCTTCATCTGGGAAATTGTCAGTTGTCACAGTAGAAGGAAAAGACACATGATGGGTTTGAACTTCTGTTGATGTTTCATTGGGCAAAGTGAATCCCATGACCACTCCTAAGTACAAAAGGGTAGGTATATATACCCCCAATACCACAGAAAGGGAAATTTAGATATCTGACAGACATTAACACCATTTACTACAGGGAACCTAATTTCCTTTTTTTCGCCACTGCTTATTCAGCACCTGTTACTGTGCTTGGTTCATTGTACCTCTCAATATTTGGTGACTGAATGATTGAAGGTCACAAATGTAGTAGGTATGCCAGAGCTGTGATTTGATTAGTCCACAAAGTCCATTCTGAATGATTTTGCTGTTGGTATTAGTCTTAGGTACGCACTAATATCCATAGCTCTAATAAACATCTACGTTTTCTCTTGTATTTTATTTTGTTTTTAATTATTCTATAAATTTCAGGAGAGATTTGTTGTGACAATTAAAGAAGCTAGCTTAAGAATGATCCCAGAAGTAGAAAAAGATTAGAAATGTGAAGTTTCAGAGAAGTCAAGGAAAAGAATTTAGAGGGAAGATTGGGGGTGTCAACCATAGCAAGAGACTGATTAGGAAACATGACTGTAAGATTTAGTTAGAGGGTGGTTTCCTTTATAAGTGGCATATAGAGAAACCAAACAAAGGATCAGAGAAAGACAAACTTTAAAATGGACTCTTGAAAGTTGGCCATAGATCTGAGGTATTCAGGAGGAGAGGAGCTTTGGTGGTGGGAAAACTATGGTGACTACACCTGAGGGGAGAATCCTATATTGTGAGAGAAAAAAAAAAAAAAAAAGGATGTAAAATAGTGATACGTCATTTAAAAAAAAAAAAAGATTTGTTTATAAAAGATCTTTGCTGTCAGATACTTCAGTGAAACCAAGGGGCAAAAATTAAATATTTCAGATTTGATCAAAGTTTAAAAGATAGAAGGGATATCTGTCTTTTATATTCTGAAATACAATTGGGGGTGGGAGTACAGCCAAGGTCCCATATTTGAGTGATAGCACAGTTTTCTGCCTGCAGTATATTTTGGTAGACTAGTTCTCTGTTTTCTCAGAGACATGGAAGAAAATGAAGAATGAATTCTATCTTGAGGAACTACATTAGTCTCCTTGAATGATTGAAACTAATCTCAGTAAAATTGCTTCAGAAAGAAAGTGGAACTTCAGATGTAGTAAGTTAGATAGGCACTTTTGGAAACTCTAGTATTCTTATTTTATGGTTAAAGTAAAATATGATCAGATTCATTAAAGCATTGCTTTCCTACTTATGAGATTAGATTGTATGTGATCAAAAGTGTATATCAGCATAAAAAATAATCACTAGGGGCAAACAAATCACTGTAAGTAGGCATCTAGAGGCAGAGTAAGAACACAGGTTTTAAGTAGGGCTGTTTAAAATAATTTTTTAACCCCTTGGATTTAGGTTTTAACTCAGTCTTTATTCCTTGAGAACAGTGAGATCATGGAGAAATAAATCTAGCTCTTTAATTTCTATTTTCTTTATCTACAAAGTGGGAATAATAAACAATAATGCATATAGAATATCGACTGTCAGTGATAGTTCCAGTATGCTAAGTGAAATAACAGCAGTGATGCTTTCTCACTCATCCACTTTTAGTTCTCAGAAAAGAGCAGTGTAAGTGGAGTTGGAAAAAGGAAATCTGTACTGATTTACTTGTATTCACTACCTGATACCTCTGTATGGCAGGCTTAGTAGTGATGCATGGAGATCTCTAGCTGGGGGAAAGTTCTTTCCCCAGAACCTCATAATCCATTTAGCTCCTTGGAAGCTTAATAAAGAATTTCATGTACCCTGACAATAATTTGCAAACCTTCTAGCTTTTGTGAATCTGCTAAGAGATAAGTATAGGGCAGGAGATGAGTCCTTGGACTCCAGTGACAACTCCAACCTCAACACAGCTTGGTCAGGCAAAGAGAATGCATCTCATGCTGCCCCAGGAAAGCGTCAAGGAATGTGTCATTTATAAACAGCAGCTTTTTTATTCTAACTTAAATTTGTAGGAGAGTAATTGCCATAGCAACGACCGTCCCTTCCAATGCAGATAAGTACAAGGATAACCCTTGGTAGAAAGATCAGAGGAGGGAGGTTCTAATCCTGCTGTGATTTACTAAAAAGCTCTAATTTTAAAACAATTTTTTAACTGTTCTAAATTGTTTATTAGGTAAGAATTTTACAAACATTACTTATTAGCGGTAACGGTGGAGCTGGAGAGTATTGCGCCTTCTCCAAGCTGCACGGCGAGAACCACCAATAGTGTGGTGGAACTTGTGGCCCTTTCCAAGACCACGGCTCTTGCGGCCTGCGGATGTTAGCCCCCGCATCTCCCTGTGCTTGTGGACTGGTTTAGTGATCCATTGGGTGTCAGGGTTTCTTCTGATAGCTTTATGGAATGGATCGATGAGGATAAACTCAAAAAATTTGTACGTGGAATCTTCACCAACCCAGTAAGAATTCAGGACTCTCAGAGCTCCACAGTGGCGTCCAGCTCTTCAGCAACAGATTGAAGGCTTCTAGAAAACTTCAGCTGATTAACACCATGGTGGACAGGCTTGCCATAGGTTGCACCCTTTGGAATTGGACGTTTGCGGCCACCACGGTGCACAAGAATCCGATATATGACATAACCTTGCTTGGCTTTGTATCCCAGTTTTCTCGCTTTATCCTGCCTGGTGGGGCGGGGTGCCCTGTGGAGGGCTGACAGCTGGCCATACAGCCAGCAGCGCACCCTGAAAATAAAGCGCATCACATCGGACTGCTTCTTCCTCCATAGTTCCTGGATGTATTTGTAAGCGCCCATTTTGGCTTATCTGATGGCTGCTGCCAGATGGAAAGGAAAGAGCCCTTTACCTTAAAACAATTTAACAAATTCTTTTGCCATTTTTTTTTCTAGAACATAGCATAGATTCTATATGCTAGTTCTTGGGAATAGAAGCTACCTCTTACCTATTTTCTCCAGCCTCCATTTTTATTTATTTTTTTTGAAGATTTACTTTCTTTTTATTTAGGCATAAAAGAGCAGGGTGTAGGTCAGAGGTGTGATGAGCAGGGTGTGTGTGTGTGAGAGGATTCACCAGAGACAGAATGGGGAGCAGAACAGTTGGGTCTATTGAAATACACTGCTGAGGGGAGCAGTGGGTGAGACAGGAGGTCTGCTGCACCATGTGGGTTAGCTCTGGCAGGGGCTAGAACTCTGCCACAATGACCTGGAACTAGCTTGATAGTGCTGAGCCTTTAACCCCTGTGCCACCAGAGAGGGCCCCAGACCTCTTCTTTAGACAGATTAAAGTTGTCATTTTGGTAAAAATTAACTGAAAAAAATGAACTGTTATACCCAGTTACTTTCAACAAGTTGTCTTTGTTTTTGTATCTTAAATCTATCTTACTCATCGTTCTTCCTAATCCAGTTATCCTACTAAATTCCTTATTTAGTGGTACCCGTTTCTCTTTCTTGAAACAGCAGCTCAAAATCGAGTGTCATTTTACACTCACTATCCCACAACCTAAAGCTGTTGATAGCCTGCCAGTTTTGCCTTCCCAGTCCAGTGGTTCTCATTCCTGGCATATTTGAAAGTCATCTGTGGAACCTTTTAAAATGCCAGTCCTGAAAACCCATCACTGAGTATGTTGGGGTGTAAGTGTGTTTTTTACGGTGAGAATTTCATGGATATTGAAGAATGAATACATTTAAAATATAAAATAAGGTATAAATACAAGAAAATAACTTTGTTTAGCTATCGCCTCATTCAAAACCACCAGGAAATAACCACTAGAGCTGAAGTCTGTTTACTTGTGGCCTATCATTTCCATCTCCCTCCCATCAAGAGTAATTTCTATTCTGAATGTTATATTTTTCTTTCCCTTGCATTTCATTATACTTTTATAATACATAGGTGCCTTCTTAAACAATAAATGGTCAAATTTCTTTTGTTTAACATATGTAAAGTTGTTATACTGTATACAATATGTTTTCTTGCCTTTTAAAATTCTCCATTATGATTTTGAGATTCATCCATGCTGGTGCCAACTGCTGTGGCCCATTTGTTAGTGAAATATTTCACTAAATAAACAATTTATTTATTCACCCTCCTGTGGATGGATATTTACAATTATTGTTTGCCAGGTGCACATGTTAAATACCTTCCCTAGGGCATATACCCAGGCATGGAATTACCATACTGTATATTCACACTTACATTTTCAACTTTGCAAGATGATGCCAAAACTTTTCATCATAGTGGTTTGAGTTTGCTTCATATGAGTTTGCTTCTACCACCATGTATCAGAAAATCAGAATTTGTGTCAACATATTAATAAATGTGTTTTCACTTATTTTGTGAAGAATTTGATTTTGATTTTCACTTTGGAGAATATAAAAGTGGTATCTCATATTGATTTTCACGTGCATTTTCCTAATAACTAATGAAGCAGAGCATTTTTTCTGATGTGTATCTACAATTCTTGCTTCCTTTTCTGCAGAATTTGTCTTTTTTTTTTTTTGCTGTGCATCTGTACTTTTTTTTTTTTTTTTCCACAGGTAATTCTTAAAGTAGCCAGCAGCGTGAATAACCACCTTTTTGTCTCATCCTTCCATCCTTCCTCATTGCTCTTACTGTGTCTGTACTTGTTCAAGTGCTCACCACTTCTGCGTATCTCATTTCAGCAGTATTCTTGTTATGGGGCTAAGCCTCCATTTTACACCATCAGTTTATCTGACCAGGCTCCTCTTCCTGATGCCTGTTCTGACTGACTGAATGACTTCCTTACTATCTTGTAAACAATGTTGCTGATTGCCCATTGCCTGAAATCAAGTCTGAACTACTTGGACTTTTTAATTCATACCTACCTACATCTCTAATGTTGAGTCCTTCTTTGCTTTGCCATGTACCTTTCACTTCTGTCAATCCTAAAATCTTAATAGTTTTAGCATAAACACCATAGCTTCTTTCTTCCACCCTGGTTGTTCACAAGCTTCACTGTTCCTGAAGAAAACATGACAACTTTCCTTCCCTCATGGTGTTTAATGCAAGTACATTTCAGGCAGGAGTGCTGAAATTTTTTTTTCCCTAAATAGTAGGATCTTGACTCAGAAAAACCTTAATTCCCAAAACTCAGTCTCAGCAAATCTAAAGAAAAGATAAAGCTGTGAAGTGGATTGTCTGTCAGCCTAGAGAGGTAAGGCCTAATTAGGTGGCCCTCAAGGAAAGCTGAGCAAGGGAAAATGAAGGCAAATCGCACCAACCATCTTAAAGAGGTTTCACTGAAAATCTCCCTGACTGAATCCATTGGTGTTGGTTATCTTAATGAAGCCACTAGAGACACCACATTTGACCAGTTTGACCACATTTAGAAATTGCTTTCTGAGGGCATTTGGTCTGCTGTAGAGAAGGGGTCATGAGCTAGCAATTCGCGGGCATTGTCTGGGCTGCAGATATGTTCAATCTGTCTGGGAGTTAAAAACTTGAATTAGTTTCCAACAATTAAATATCAGGGAATTTCCACTAATAATCTGGGTATCTGATTTTTCTTGAAAATCCAGTAACAGCAGATCTGTAATATCACAAGGAAAAATTCACTTGAGCCAAGTAGTGCACCCCACTTAGATAGGTCAGTCTTCAACTCAGCTCTGCCCTTAACCATGTCCCAATGTCCAGATATGATGTCCTTTACCTGGTCAGCCTGACTCTGTTAGGCAATTTGCTGGTTCTGGTAATCCTCTGATATTGCTGAGTAGTTATTTTCCCCAGGCAATACTGACTACATTTGATAGGTGGGTGGCTCTCAGAGGCTTCACTTTGTTGCTTAGTAGCCAGTCAGATTTCTACTAGTCAACCTCTCCTGGACTCATGTGTCTCAGGTGTGAGTGAAGTGGTTGGAGCAGGTGACCATTAAGACTTCTTATTGCTCTAGCATTATGTGCTATCATGGAATAACCTGAATGCTTACACCTTTCTCTTACAGGTTTTGTTCTCAACTCTTTTCTGTCTATCTGTATTACTCTACCTATATCTACATCTCCATTTCCATCTCTATCTCCATCATTATCTGAAAGATTATTTCTATTACTACCTGAAAGATTATTTTTCTCTTAAAAGCTTACTTGTGGTAGAGAGTATAGGATTTGATGGAAGTAATGGGGGTATACTTGATCAACCTTTCCTTTTTTCTCTCTCTCTGCTTTATAAGATGACCTTTGTTTTGTTTAGCATGTTCATGGAGCTGGAAACAGTAAAGACATGCTGATTCTAAAAGAAGATACTCAGTATACATAGGAAGAATGCATCTTTTTTTTTAAATTTCTACCATTCTTTGAGTAGAATTTGTTCATAATATTAAAGAGTTCACTTGCCATAAATATTCATTGGATACTTTTCTACCATAGTGATAGCTATCCTTGACATACATATATAAAGAACAAAATAATGTGCAGTTCTTTTTAATGAACAAAATAAAGTGCCCATTTACACAAAGGGCAATGCACAAATCACATGTAAATGGACAACTCCTGAAATAGTATTTCTCAAACCTAGTTCATAGGAATGAAGTTGCTGGCTCATATATTGCTAGCTGCTGCAGTACTCCGAGGACCACAGTGTAAGTAAAAGCTGATGGACAGCTTTCTTGGGCAATGATTTTGCTTTACTTGCTTCTAATGTAGTGTCTTTGTGGGATCTTTTTAACCCTTTGGATATAAAACATCACCAGAAAAATGAAATACATGCTTTTCAGTGTCTACTGGATGAAGTATACATAGTCAGTTGGATGGTTTTTTTTTTTTTTAATAGAGGCATGTTTTTATTTATTTATTTATTTATTTGTTTGTTTGTTCGTTTTTGTTTATACATGCACTGGGTACAGTCAGAAGCGCGGGAGGGTGAGAGAATTCACCAGAGCCAGAGCGGGGAGCAGAGCAGGCAGACTGACGAAATACACTGCTGAGGGGAGCAGTGGGCGGCAGGAGAGGTCTGCGCGCCATGTGGGACCCTCCTCCGGTGGCCGGGGAGCAGCCCGGGATCGAACCGGCGCCGCAGAGGCTGCAGGCAGCTTCGCAACCCAGCACTCAACCGCTACGCCACCGGGGAGGCCCTGGATGGGGTTTTTTCCTTCTCGATTTCCTTTCCTGTTCAAACTAGAAATTTACCTCTAGCCAGCAAAGTCTCTGTATGTAATTGTATTTAAAATGCGTACGAATTGACATTGGTTTTTGAAATAGGTAAGGCATTTCACTAATATTTCTGCTGTTTTGTGTTCTAGATTGTAAAACAAATTGTATATAATGACAAAAAATTTAATCCCCTCTTGATTGTGGAGGGATGACAATAGATATTATGTGGAAACAAAAATGACAGCAGAAACATATTTTCAGGATTTAATAAGGTGACTTAGAATAATTTTGTTCATCCAATTTTCATTTTGGCTGCACTGATTCTTTCTTCTTTAGATTGTTGCAACTTTTTTTCCAATATCTTTGTTACAGAAGTAGATAGTGCTCATGATTCACCTAGCTCTTGGAGATGATTTTATAATAGTGGGTTACTCTAATTGCATTTCTTTACTTTCTTTTTCCTTTAGTAAGAAAAATAGTAAAGAATTCTTGTTCTCTTTGCACATTGGGGAAAGTTCTTCTAATGTTATCACTCCTACTGATTTATAAGCCCTTGGGCTTCTATTGCTTAAAAAAGTCAAGTGCAAATAAAGGTTTTTATGGAACCAAAAAGACCTTGAAGGTAATAAACACTTTGTATAATTTCATTGTATTAGATGATGAACTTAAAAAAGTTGTACTGGGGAAATAATTTATTTTGGGTATTAGTTATAACTAGAGATTTCTGCAGTAGACA